TTAATGTCCTTCACCTCCACCTCCACGTGGAAAACCTGCAGCGGCTTCTCCACGATCACCTCCAGGTGGACGCCGCACACCGCGCTCCGCCCGCACAGCTCCTCGCGGTCCAGCCGGGAATTCACGAACAGGATGCCGTTCTGCAGATTCACCTCCAGAAGGTCCCCGCGGCCTTTGGACGCCACCCGGAACAGGCGCGGCACCAGCTCGGCCAGCTCCAGCCCCAGGTCCTGCGCGATGCGGCCCACGAAGGTGCCGTGCTTGGCCTCCTCGGGGACCGAGTAGTGGATCTGGGCGCTCCCCGCCGCCCAGGCTGCCAGGAGGAGAAGCGAGAGCAGCAGACTCCGGGATCCGAGGCCGCTTCCCCGGGAAAACTGCATCGTAAGCACTCAAAATTTTGTTCTGATTAAAGGATCTATCCTCAGAGTCAAGAGAAATCTTCTGACTGGTCAGTTCAGCGCTGCTACATCCTCCATTTCTCAGCAACCAGATGGTGGATGCAGTTTCTTCCCAGTGAGGGTAGAAGGGCTTTTTCTGTCTGGCTTCTCTCAGATCTATTTTATGGTGGAGAGCGACATCATGTGGCTCTTAACAGTATAAATTCTGGAAATCCACGCTCTGCTATGTTTTATTTTACTTTTAGTTTTTCTCCATGCTTTTGGAGTCATTGGAGAATAGCACTGAATTTTGCATACCAAGGTGAACGTTTTGTACCACTGATCAAGCGTGAATCTGCGTTTCCTCACAAAGCCAACTTTTACTATAGTGCAAAAAACATACCGATTTTAAGAATTTACTAAGATCCAACTGTAGGGTTGATTAGCTAAATTCATGACAAACAGATGCTTTCTTCCTTGGAATGATAGAAGGCTGTCATTAATGATGATAGCCTCTTTATCCTAGGATTTTGTAGTGTTGTTGTTCAAGGCTTGAGGGAACCTCTGGTCCCAGGAATTGAAAATTGGAAGGGAAATTCACAAAAATTAGAAAAAGAAATCAAAGATCGTCAGCATTTAACTGAGCATCTTTCTTAAGTTACCTAAGAGCTGAAAGTGTTAGGAAGCGTTAACAAGGAAGTAGCAAGTTGCAGTAAATAGATTATGTGGAAAAGTATTCCAAATAAATTTGTTTACTGGAACCCATTCACCTCCCATTAGCAAGGATGGTATTTTCATTTTCTTTATTTAAAATTGTGATTTGGGTGAAAGTTTACAGAGCATATTCTTTTTTCCATTGAACAGTTTATACACAGTTTGTTTTCTGATATTCACTGCAGTCCCTACAATGTAACAGTAACTCTTTCCACTTCCCCCCTGTGTTTACCTCTATTATTTTCCGTCCCTTCCTGCTATCTTTGCTTTACCCGTGGGCAAATGCTGTCCTTTTGATATCACATTGTTGATTGTTCCAATGAGTGCATGCCTCCCTGGTGCTACTGTTCCCTTCATAGGCCTGTCTTGTTTGGCTGAAAGGTGAGCCACAGGGGTGAGTTTAGTTCCAGGCTTGAAGGGTGTCCAAGGGCTATAGTCTTGGGGGTTCCACCAGTCTCTATCAGACCAGCAAGCCTGGCCCTTTTTATGATTTTGAGTTTTCTCCCACATTTTTCTCCCACTCTATCCAGTACTTCCTATCGTGATTTCTTTCAGACTGGTAGCCAGGCACTATCTAGTTCTTCTGACTGTAGGGTCATGGAAGCTGAGGTTCATGTGCTCCATTAGTCCTTTGGAATAATTGTTTCCTTTCACATACATATATATTTCACTCTTCTTTGCGCCAGATGGGGAGAGACCAATAGCTGCACCTTAGAAGGTTGGTTTTTCCATTTTCTCTCTTAAATGCTGATTTATCAATGGCCTACTGTTCTCTGGTCTTTAATATGTCTAGACTTCTATTTCTCCCACAGTGCTTATATATTTTATTCAAACTGAATAATGTCCCATTTCAAATAATAGCTTTTCCACTAAACAAACATACCCATTTCATCTCTTGGTTAACATACTCATCATTTCCAAACTCTTCACAAAGCAATTGTCCTCATTTGATGACCATTCAAAACTTCCCTGACCTATGAAGACTTTCATGATCAAACCAATTGGGCAGACATCTTTATCTTCTTTTATGCACAATAGAACCTAGACTGAGGCACTTGGGCCATTTATTACATTCATTTCTCTTTTGTAGACATTTGGGTATGTATCACCTAGTTTCCTTTCTTAGAATACAAACTTTTACAGGAAATAGTTGGCTTTTAATAGTTTAGCTCGGAGTTATTTATCTATTTGCTTAATGTTTACCCATAGAAATTGTTCTGGTTCTTTTCAACTGTGTAATAAAACTAATTAATTTCAGCAATAAATAGCTAGCCCTGACCCCAATCAGGATTCATGAGTCACTTAAGAAAAATTACCAAAAGGAGATAAGTTTAAAACTGTAAAAAGGGATGATCTACAGACACTTAATATGTCAGGAAAATACGATGTCTCATCAGCATCTATTATTTTGTAGAGATACAAAACTCTTTTTTTAAAAGACATTCCTTTAATTGATACATATTTCAATTTCCATATTGAAAACCTGGCTTTTAGCTTCACTTTCACTCCAGTTCAAGGCAGTCATGATCTTTCAAACAATCCAAGTTTTAATGGGCAGAGAAGACTTCCCAGTAAATTGAGCTGCCATCATGTAAACAAAGTTAATAGAGAAGAATGTAATGGTGGCCATCTTCAAGCTTGCTTTGCTCCTAACAATAATAAGCATCTTTGTCTAGAACAAAAAATCAATACAGAGAAAATATCTTTAGGCTCTCTCTATGGAGTGCCACAGGAGCTCTGGTAGTACAGTGCCTAAGGCACTGGACTGCTAACCAGAAGGCTGGAGGTTCAAACTCACCAGTCACTCCTCAGAAGGAAGGTTGGGCAATCTACTTCCATAGTGACACTGTCTTTGGCAACCCAAGAAGGGGTCGCTATGAGTCGGGGCCGACCCGATGGCACATAACAACAACAACAACAACAACAACAAAAATCAAGTGCCACAATCACAGAAAACAAATTTCTCAATTGAAGCATAAATCAGAGTTCTTTCACTCTTCGGGGATTCAAACTGTAGATTTGTACAAAATGATGATACGGACACACTGGGAGAAAGTGAAAAGTACTCTCTCTCCATTCACTGTATTTTGCAAAATAACCAAATGCATAAATGAGAGATGGAACAGAACAGAAAAGTGTATTAACTTGGTACAAAATCTGTATTGAAGGAACCCTGGTGGTTTAATGGTTAAGTGCTTGACAGAGATCTGAATGGTTGGCAGCTCAAACCCACCCAAAGGCTCCAGGGCAAAAAGGCCTGACAATTGGCTTCTGTAAAGATTACAGTCAAGAAAACCCTGTAGGACAATTCCACTCAATATAGAGTCACCTAAGTCATAACCAACTCAATCGCACTCAAGAACAGCAATCAGTATTCACTTGGAACAGAAGTAGAACATCTCTATAGAGAAGAAACTCTTCAAAATGTCTTATTCAACAAAAATCTCATTAGTTAAGAATTTCAAGAAGAGAGCTGGATTTTAAGATCAAAATCTCGATATCCTGGTATAGTTACTGCCTGACTGACATTACTAGACAGGGTTGTAATGAAAGGAAAGTCACCAGCAATGACATTGACTAGTAAACTCATTTGATATAGGCATCCTTAATATTTTATGTAAAGGGGTTAATGATTAACAAGTTTTGCTAGTAGGCATAAAATTTTTAAATTAGTAACTGTAGTAGTATTCTCAACAAATTATTCAGGATGAAAATCATCCTTAATACAATTTAAAATATTCTTAAGTACAAGAATATTTTCTAAATGATGATTTACTAACAAGAGCTATAGATTTTCATTTACTATTGATTTTTTTTTTCAAAAATTGCCAATAAAAGTAGTGAGAAACTCATGGTGGGCAAAAATACAATTCTAAAACCAGTAAAATTATGCTATTAAAAAAATACAATGGGAAAATGTAGAGGCAATAAACAGTATTGCAAGATAAGAGCACAGACTTCAAGTAAATCATGTTCAGGTAGAAAGGAGAGATCCAGCTCCAGAAAAATGAGTAAGAAAGTAAAAAGGCTTCATAAAAAACAACAGGTTGAATAAAGTAATATGTGTAAGTGAAGATGTAAAAGCATAATGAAAAGGATGACTGAGTATTCAGGGTTATTGAACTGCCAACTTTCTGGTTAGCAGTCAAATGCCTTAGGCAATAGTCACAAGAAAGCCAAACATAACTAAATCACAAAAGCAATATCTTTTAAAAACTCTAATTACTGTAAACATAAGAGTAGAGTAGTAATTATTGAACCCCTTCAAATGAGGTGAAGATATTGGAGATTTTAAAGTAACATTTTTGGAAGAACATGGAAAAGTTACTCACTTTGGAAGAAAGATCAATATCCACATCCAGTTGTTGATCTTTATCCCTGCTAACTGGACACGGTGGGAGGCTGGGGCTGAAGGCCATAAGGTCTGTCTTGGGCGGCCCCTCCCCAGAGCACACCCTCTGCCTCCTCTGCTGAGAGTAAGACCAGCTCCCCACCGCGCTGGCGCACACCAGCGTGGGCTTCCCCGGCCCGCACGCGCCCTCCGTCGGCGGCGCCGAGCACCGCAGCGCCGTGTACAGCACCAGCGTGAGCACCAGCAGGCTAGACACCGCGCAGATGGCGATGATCAGGTACACGTTGACGTCCACTAGCGCTGCCTCTCGGTCCGTGGCATCTGCCAACTTCCGCGACGACGTCTGCAAGGCCTGGCCGCTCTCCACCAAAGACACCAGCACGGTGGCAGTGGCCGCCAGCGGCGGCTCCCCATGGTCCTTCACCAGCACCAGCAGGCGCTGGCGTGAAGTGTCCGCCTCGTCCAGGGAGCGAGTTGTGCTCACCTCTCCGGTGTACAGACCCACGCGGAACGGGCTGCCCGCGCCGCCCGCCGCTGGCTGCAGCTCATACGACAGCCACGCGTTGTAGCCAGAGTCCGCGTC